TATCTTAAAAGTTGCCAAGGTTGAACAACACTAAGCCCAAATAAAACCCTGGGGAAAACCAGTACAGCCACTATAGACCCATTCCGCTGTCCCACAGAGCTTTTTGAAGTGAATCTGAACTGGTCCTTCTCTCCCTCGGCTTAAAACAACCTCACAGGGCCGTTGTGTTAGAGGAGAATTCCTCTTAAGCTTCCTCACACTCTCAAACTAAAACAAGGGTGTCAAACTCAAATGCTTAAATCCAGCCCACGGGGCCAGCCTGGAAAAATGAAAGGACGGGCCTGCTGTGTGCTGTCCCCCTGCGCCTTGTTTTCACTTTCCATGGCGTCCTGCAGCACTCTGTAGGCTGAAAATGGGCTGAAAAATGGTCCAAGAACAGGCCGACAAATGGGCCCCAAACAGCCTGAAAAATGGCCCCCAAAACAGCTGAAAACCAGACCAAAAACAGTTGAAAACCAGGCCAAAACCAGCCAAAAAATAGGCCCCAAACAAGCAAAAAATTGCCTCAGTAACAGACAAAAACATCTGAGAAACAAGGCAAAAATGGGTCCAAAACAGGCCCCAAAACAGCTGAAAAACAAGGCAAAAATGCCCCCCAAAACCAGTCAAACAGGCTGAAAATGGCCTCTAAAACAGGCCAAAATGGCTGAGAAACAAGCTCAAAACAGGCCGAGAAACAAGCTGAACAACAGGCCCAAAATGGACTGAAAAACAGACCCCAAACCAGCTGAAAACAAGCCAAAAATGGCCTGAAAACCAGGTCATAATGGTTGAAAAACGGGCTGAAAATCAGGCCCAAAACTCTGAAAAACAAGCCAAAAATGGCCCCCAAAACCCAGGTCAAAATGGCTGAAAAATGGGCCCAAAACAGGCCGAAAAACGGTTCCAAACTGGCTGAAAAACAAGCCAAAAATGGCCCCCAAAACAGGCCAAGAATGGGCCCAAAAGGGCCAAAAAACAGGCTGAAAATGGGCCATGCCAACTGCCGCTGGCCCCCCCTTCTGTGTCCGTCCCCCCCTCCCCTGGCTCGCAGACAAAAACTACAATGCTGAACGGGCTATTGAAGAAATCCAATTTGACACCCCTGAAGTAACGTAATAAGCAAATAATTGTTATCTTCTTAAAGATGCGCCTGACTGATCTTCAGCCCGAAATAAGAAGACACCCGTTGAAGAGCGGCCTTCTTTTGCCGCTGGCCAAAATGTCTCCTCCTGTCGTTTATATTCGGCAGCTGAAAAGCTGTTGGGTTTTCTTCCTCTTTTTTTCCCACCTGGTTGGGTTTCGGCAGCACGTGGGAGGCTGCAGTAGCTCCCACGGGAGGAATTTGACTTCTGTTTCCTCCGCAGGTGCATTGCCAGAAGACGGACTACTGGCAGTTTGTGAAGGATGTGCGTTGGCTGAGCCCCCACGCAGCCCGTCACGTGGACAAGGTGAGCAACCCGGGGAATTCAGAGAGAGAAACCCGGGAGATACGCAGGAGGAACACAGGGTTGGCAGAACAGAGAAGCTGGCTTTGCTGTTGTTACCCACTAAGTGAGTGGGCAGGCATTTTGGCTCTCGTGGCTTTGGAAACTTTTCCAAAAATTGATTAACTAATATTAAATTAAATGAATGGACTTCTGGAGGGAAACTGTTCCATGGATTAATTGCTCTCACCCTCAGGAAATTTCTCCTGATCTTCCTTCCTTCCTTCCTTCCTTCCTTCCTTCC